GATAGCCGCCGGGAGGGGGTCCGCCCTGATATGATTCGGCCAGTTTCTTGTCGGCCGCTAAGTTGGTCGGGAATTTGACCAGTTTGGCGCCACCAGAATTGGGCAATAAACCTGTTAGACCTCCTCCGCCTCCAGGTTTAGCACCTGGTTTTGCAGCCGGTTTTGCGGCTGGTTTTGCCGCTGGTTTTGCCGCTGGTTTTGCCGCTGGTTCTGCCGCTGGTTCTTCCCCCTCCGGCGCTTGACGTTTGGGCCGTGGTTTGCCGGCGACGGCTGCGATGGCCGCTGTTATTGACAACAAATTAAAACAATATTTCTTTTACGTTAATATAATGAATGTCATCTCAAACCGAGTCCTAACCTGGTTTAGCGGGTGTTGTGTCGAATTTCCTGGCTTTGTAGGCACCGCCCCATATGTTGATACCGTAGGCGGCGGCCACATCCAGACCAGTCCACAGCGATTTGTGATACTCACCGGTGCACAGAAACCTTGTCCACCGAAGCAACGGCTCCAGAACCATCATCACCGGCTTAAACAGACCGCCACTCGTTTGGATAATAACCGGCGGAAGTGCCAAAAGTCGGTCAAAGATATCTTCATCGAGAGCCATGATTCTCGGGATCAAAAGCAAGGGACCAAATATCTGGTTAAGCATTGTTGCCACGGGCTGGTACACTATGTATGTTATCGCTCTACCCGTTGGACCTGATATCACATTTAAAGTGTTTTAAATTATTATATTAATTATCATTATATGATTGTAAACATAATTGTCATAATTATAGATATTATGTAAGTCAACACTATAATTAATATTATTTTTGTGTTTGTTTAAACAGTTAAAGCCATAGACTTACCGATTGTAGATCCAACCAAATCAATGAGAGCCTGCAGGCGCTGCCCATTGAGTGCACTTCGTACAAACTTGCTAATTGCCTTGATTATTTTGATTATTTTACTGTTATAATGACCCGAAATAATCAAATAGAAACAAATTAATGAAATTAAATCTCAATAATAACCATATTTTACAACTGAAATAACAAAATAGCATTACGTTTGGTACTGGAAGATTAGCCCTCCTTTGCCAAATACTCGCACGTAATAGATTTTGGCCTGTTTTTCACCTTGTTCTTTGTATTCTTCTAGCTGTTTGGTCAAATGTCCCTTTTCTGTGGCCACGTTAACGGTCTTGAGCCGCGCGATCGCTATCAACAATTCATTATAAAAATACATTATTATCATAAAACACACCACAACCCCAACCACCGGGTGGGCGATCGTAGGGACAGACCTTGTTTTGTTGCTTTGACCACATCTCTGCCGCTCACATCGGAATAGGCCTGAAGGGCGGCGTTCATTGCGCCCCCATTTCTGTTCACATATGATTTGATTTGTTCAATATATTTGCTGAATCCTTCCTCCACAATGTCGTCGATGAACTCTACCGGCACTTTCACCGACTGATCCACACATGCATTCACATTACATTACACAACATATAATAATAATAATAATTTTTGTAATTAATATTAATATCCAAAAGTCGATCTACTTTTCAAAGCAAATGTGTTTTTCTATTTTTCCTAATATTTGTTTCCTAATGTATTAAATAAGTTTCGCACATAACATATAGAGCCGGAAAAATAATTTAAAATGTCTATAAAAATAGGGCTCATCATTGGTTACAGTTTTATTCAGATAGTTAAACTAATTTATGCTAACTTAATAATAATAATAATGTATTATTAGTAGGGCTAACACTTGATCATGTATTTAATATGCAGACTCATCACAATTATGAATTAGTGAACAAGTGATAAAATATTTACTATTCAGATAATGCTAGAAACATATAAATTGTCATAATATTTATTATTGTCCATTGAGGAATTAAACATGTTTGAGAATTAGCCCTTTTCAGCCCTAATTATTAGAGAACAAGTGATAAAATATTTACTATTCAGATAATGCTAGAAACATATAAATTGTCATAATATTTATTATTGTCCATTGAGGAATTAAACATGTTTGAGAATTAGCCCTTTTCAGCCCTAATTATTAGGTATCACGATGTATTATTTATATTTTATAAATAAAATGCTATTATAAATTATAATAATACTTTTGGAAATAATATTGATAAACAAAAATGAATATAAAAGTGCACTAAATTTGATGGCAACAGACCTGAAGCATGAATTCGTCGTATTTCTTCTCATATGCCTCTAACTTAAGGCCGAGGAAATCAAAATAGTCGCCGAGTTTGAGGTCCTTTGATTTGCCAACCCTGAGAACAGCGCCAATACTAATCCATTCGCCTTCTTTGCGCGCCTCCACATCAGCGCCAAACTCTTTGCTCAGCTCTGCTTTACTCAGTTTAGTCCTCTCCGCGTATTTAGTGAAGAATGATTCGGCGAAATAGGCGACGGGAGCCTTCAGCTTCTGCATGTCCACCCCATTCATGGCGAGTAGAGGATCAGGGTCCAATTGCATCAACAACTTGATCGGATTGATTTCGCGTATGGCTTCGGTCACCACTTCCATCACTTTGCCCTTAGCTTTGGCCCCTTTGTTGGCCTTCGCCTTCTCGTACTTGGCTTTCAGATGATCGGCCGCTTTGGACGCCATATCATTGACATTGAGATTAATGCCGGGGCCTTCGGTGGCCTCCCCTCCGGCATCAGACGCCTCGGCTTTAAGTTTGGCGTCGGCTTCCGTTACCACTGCAGCCGCCTTCTGAAGATTGGCGTCTCCTTCGCCTTCGGCCGGAGCAGCCCCTGCATCGCCTTCATTGGCATCATTTAATTCAAATTTATTTTATTATTAATTACATTAAATATAACTAAATAAACATTAATTCAATTAATAGACAAAGANAAAAGTATAAAAAATTATAAAAATAATCTTATTTTATGCAGTAGTCAATTAATTTTATAATGTTTTTGATGAATAACAAAGAATTGGTTGTCACTCATATAGCATTACGTCACTATTTGAGCGCAATTATTGAATTTTGATTACAAAATAATTTACAAAATGATTTAAAATAAATTAATTGAATAGATTTTACCAAATCTTCTTCTCTATTATGATTAAGCATGTTAGGGCACATGTAATAAATACAATAAAAGTATTTATATACGTCGATTGGTCATCGTTTGACCACATTTTTGTCTTATCTTCCCAATTTTAAGGAATATAAAGAATTTTCCGGCGCAAAACTATTTTCCTGGAAGATATTTTTTAAAAATGGCAAACCATGAACATTACGTATACGTAACTACAGTACTGTCCTAAATACTGTATATCGCGTATTTTTACCCCTGATAGCATCCGTGGTCTACATTCTCAACTAATTGTTTTTATATATTTTAAGTGTAATAAATTATTATATTTTAATTCTACCTATGTCATTATTATATTAATTTTTATTATGTTTGTATATGTAAACTCTTATGTACAGTACACCTACAGTAGTACACATTTACCTGCTGCACTTTATTTTAGAACTTACATTATATCATAATATGATATGATATTATAATTTATATTCTATTTTGATAGCATTTTAAAGTTATTAAATTTTTAATAATTTATTTAAGTAAAGTCAATGCCTCTAACAATTTTATATTTATTAAACTTTTTTATAAGAGAGAGAGAGAGAGAGACTAATTTGTTATTCTTTCAAGATCTGGTCTGTTGGACGCAAACCAGAACAAGTTGGCTGAAGCGGGTATAGACTTGGCCTCCATATTAAACCGCATAATGAGGGGCGCTATTGAGGATGAGATCAAATTTATGAACGCCGGTATTGATATCAAGACAATGCTTAAGGCGGGCATATGTCCGGCCCGTTTCATAGTGGGAGGCGTCGGCGCCATTCCTGAAGATACACTGCTTAAATTGAGTATCAATAAGAAACAAATGACTGATCAGGACTTGAAAAAGTTGGGACTCAATGCTCTTAAACTTCACGCAAAGGGTGTGTGTCTTTCAATATCTCCTTTCAATACTCTTACTGCAAATTCTGTGTGTTTTGAAAATGTTTTGATTAAATTTAAATATAATATATGTGTTCAGGCGTTGACCCGAAGAAGTTGGCCGACAATGGTATCGAAGCCTATTCCGCTAAATCCAAACAAGACTTGGGACTCAACGCCGAGCACTTGATATTCTCGGTTTACACCGGATTAGATCCCAAGACACTACATAAGGCCGGTATTGATCTGAAAGTGATGGTCGGCGCTGGTGTGGACACCAAACTCATCCTCACGGGTGGTCTTAAACGTAATGCAAATTATATTTATAATTATGTAATGAATTGCAATTAACTGAATTCCTGATTGCAGTGCACCTAAAGGGCGATTTGACTCCGGGCTCATTGGCTAGAGTTGGCATTAACGTGAAACAAGTGCTGGCAATGGGTATTAACATAAACTTAATATCAGAAGTGGGCGCTGCCATACTGAACCCAATGAACCTGGTCAAAATGGGTATCTGTCCGTTTAGGACTATGATTGTAAGCATGTTATCCAGATTATCAATTTATTATCAATTCTAGCCATTAATGTCTGTATAGGGAACGCTCTCTCGTCATGGACTGGATGTGCTGACCGGCGGTTCCGACGATGCCCTGAGTGTGTCCTTCGGTTTTGTGTCCTCCATATTGAAGATCATTCAAAACATCGCCGCACAGATCCCTAACATTAAGGACATCCCATACATCGGACCAATGGTTATGGACAAGAATGGCCGCTGGAAGGGAGTGCCCGGATTCATATTCTATAAGATATTGGGTATTGATAATCATGGTGGATTACTCGGAACCCTAACATTAAGGACATCCCATACATCGGACCAATGGTTATGGACAAGAATGGCCGCTGGAAGGGAGTGCCCGGATTCATATTCTATAAGATATTGGGTATTGATAATCATGGTGGATTACTCGGATTGCTCAAGAAGATCTTCAGCGGCCAACTGACCATGGCTGAGATACTGGCTCTATTGAATCCCACGCGTATCGTCAATGTGACTCTCTCTCTCTCTCTCTCTCTCTCTCTCTCTCAAATCAAAATGTACTTCAATCGATCACTTACTCTAATAATACAGTTATCTTGAGATCCACTTTAGACATGGAATTAGCATTAAGTCCGATCGCTGGGTATGTCTCTGGTTTGTCGAGTTTAGCCCTGGCTTCGGGCTTTAACATCTTCTTCCCGCCGGCCAATAGTAAGGCCGGATCGATGCCATTAGCCGTCAGTTTTTCTAATCGTTGTGAGAATATTATCCGCAAAACCACTCATAACTACAAGACATCAATACATACCGGCATTGATTCCAACCTCGTTGAGAATGTCGGGGTCCTGACCGCCGAGCAGAGCGGTCAAGAACTGGCGCTTATCGTTAGCCGACTTCAAGAGTCGGGGCAAGTCGTCGAACGCCACGAGTAACTGCTTGAGAGGTTGGTTCTTCAGATTGATGTTGGTGTCCAAGAACTGGACCGGATCTATGATATTGCCTAATATGCCGTTGAAGAGGGCGCCGGTCAGCGATCCAATCGGTCCGATGGCCTGAATGTAGGTCAAGAACCAGCCGCCGAAGAACTCACCCAAAGAGTTCACAATGAAGTCCGAGTGGGGCTAAGCGGAAGAGTGGCCACAAATTATACCATATAATGTATTAGTGATAAAATGTGTATTAATTTCAAGTCATACCTTCAATTCTTGGTGGGCTCTGACCGCTGCTCCTGGATGTGCCATCGGTGACTCCCCATTGGCCTGTATTCTCAACATAGCCAACAGACCACCGCTGCCCTCCAACCATATGAGCATAGCCCGGGCAATTCGGTCCGGATATTTGTACACTTCAAACAATACACCACTGGTCGCGTGTTTGACCAGATTCGGGGTCTGCAATACCATATCTCCCGGTGTGAGTTCACCTACAGTACACACGTTTAAGTCATATTTGTAATCAATAACAATTGCTAATACAAACCCTTATTGATCAGATACGCTGTCTTAATGAACGGTAGCATTGCGTGCAATATGTCGGCCAGGGGTCCAATAAAGCCCACACCCCTTATGATTTCAGGCACTTCAGCCATACGTGTGTTAAAGTCGGCTATAAAAGCAATTTTCAGAAACAATAATTAAACCATAAAACACTAAATCGCTTAACAATAAGACATACTTTTGCTGAAAGCAACGGTATTGACAGCGCGAAGAAAGGGGGCCAACACAGAGGCGAGCGGCACAAACACCGGTCCTCCAGCTTTCAATAGGAAATCGGGTGACAGTAAGAGTCGGGAAATGGAGTCCTCGTCGTCCAAATCCACTTTGCCGTCACTCTTCACACCCAAGCGATAGCCGCCGGGAGGGGGTCCGCCCTGATATGATTCGGCCAATCGGTCCGGATATTTGTACACTTCAAACAATACACCACTGGTCGCGTGTTTGACCAGATTCGGGGTCTGCAATACCATATCTCCCGGTGTGAGTTCACCTACAGTACACACGTTTAAGTCATATTTGCAATCAATAACAATTGATAATACAAACCCTTATTGATTAGATACGCTGTCTTAATGAACGGTAGCATTGCGTGCAATATGTCGGCCAGGGGTCCAATAAAGCCCACACCCCTTATGATTTCAGGCAATTCAGCCATACGTGTGTTAAAGTCGGCTATAAAAGCAGTTTTCAAAAACAATAATTAAACCATAAAACACTAAATCTCTTAACAATAAGATATACTTTTGCTGAAAGCAACGGTATTGACAGCGCGAAGAAAGGGGGCCAACACAGAGGCGAGCGGCACAAACACCGGTCCTCCAGCTTTTAATAGGAAATCGGGTGACAGTAAGAGTCGGGAAATGGAGTCCTCGTCGTCCAAATCCACTTTGCCGTCACTCTTCACACCCAAGCGATAGCCGCCGGGAGGGGGTCCGCCCTGATATGATTCGGCCA